AATATTGATTGAAATTACATAGATGTAGGATTCTATCCAATATAATTATTATTATTATTTTGAATGTTTGAAACCGAGTTTCGATTGGTAAGTAAATTTTCAGATATTGGAAAAGAAATCAAATTTATTTATTTACACGAACGAATGCAATTCAGTTTAGATATTTTATGATTTGGTGTGATACTTACCGCGTACAACATTTGGATAAATATTAAACAGAATCATTTAGTTTTAGAATTGTATATCGATTGGTATGTTTAATAAGACTCAAATTCCGTAAATCGTATATTTGATACTTTCTTGTATTTTTTTAAATCGTATATTTTAGTTCCTGTATTTCAATTTTTTCCAATGTTTTAAGCAATGTTGTATTTCATTTTTTATCTGTGTGTGAGATGTATCATCTATTATATTTTTTTTTTATTTTGTTTTTTTGAACAAATGTACAAATGTTTAATTATATATGTAATCGTTCCAATTCCACGATTACAATGATTTTGTGAAAGAACAAAAAAGATTCATTTAAATATGCAAATTAGCAAAGTCAGTAGATTCTTGTTAGGCACGATTGCAATGATTATTTAAAAAAACAAAAAAATACATATAAATGTGCGAAATGGTATATTCGGTTACAACAGATCGCCATTCACGTTTAAATTGGACTTCAATGGGATTACAGATAAGTCCAAAACTCTGATATATTGAATATCGAATACTTCCCATGATAATAGGAACCATGTGTTTGGCAGGTAAATCTCATCCAAATTTTAGGAAAAGATTATTCCCACACGCATTAAAAAATCTGATTCAAATTACTTTTACAAATCATATCGGAACAAAAGATATACACTATCTGATCTTTATTGCAACCAAAAATTGCAACAGCGGGACATGCAAAAATTTTCGAAAAAATTGCTGAAAAACGAAATTAAAGAAGCGGGAAAATGGTAAAATAGAAGCGGGAAATGAAATCATTTTTTCAAAGTTTTTCAAACAATATTTCTTCTTCGTATTATATAGTAATAGATATATAATATATATTTATAGGGGATGGATCCAATGAGACCACTCCTTAAAATGAGTACGTGAGACTCAATCTTAGCCACTCATTTTGTCTAGATCAAAATCAATTAAAATATACATTAATTAAATAATAAAATAGTTGACCGTTGACTCCGGCGTTGACCGTTGACTTCCGGCGTTGACTTCCGGCGAGAATCGTTGACTTCCGTCGTTTACCGTTGACTTTCGGCGTTGACCCGTTGTATTGAAATAAATAACCTAGCAACAAAAGACACTCAACCTTGAATGGTGTAGTGGTTGCATTGCTTGTCTTGCGTCCATGAGGTACCAGGTTCAAATCCTATGGGTTACAATTTTTTTATAAAAAAAAATACAACTAACTTAGCAACATCAGACAACTAACCTAGCAACAAAACACAACTAACTTAGCAGCATCAGACAACTAACCTAGCAACAAAACACAACTAACCTAGCAGCAAGAAAAAACAACCACAACTAACCTAGCAGCAAGAAAGAACAACTAACTTAGCAACATCAGACAACTAACCTAGCAACAAAACA